AGTCGTTTCCGCTATGAGCTGAATAAAAGTCACTTTACTTATACTTCTTGTCGCGTCCTTCCCTTCGCTCCAAGATGTAAAAGCAGATGAAGAAGACTAGCAGATATATAGCTGGAACATCAGAGTCAGGTTCATCCAATTGTAAAAGCCAGAAGCATGGACTAGAGAGACTTCTTTCGTTATTGCTCCTTTAAAATTTAAAATTTGTGGGCTGTGTGACTCAGCAGATACTAAATAAAATAAAATTTAGAATGCATTCACTTGTCTAGTCTCCTTTAAAAATTAATTTAAGTTTAATTTTATTAAATTATGATCATTCTATTGCTTAATTGTATTTTATGTAAAACATTTCCTTCAATTGGTCCTGAAGTTTAGTTTAGTTTCAATGAATGATCTCTAATTCTAATTTCTCCCCTTTTTTCATGCCATGTTTAAAATGTTTGTATTGGATCTCATCTTCTTTGTCTTTGTTCTAAGTAAAAAAGCCCCCAGTTCTGTATCCTTTCTTTCTAAAGAAGCTATTGTAATTTCCTATAATTTTGATCTTTTCTTGCACAAAAACATTTTTAAGTGCAGTATTTTGAACTATGCACCAGCCTTGGAATTGGGCTACTGGATGTGTACTTGCTTCATCCACTAAAGTTCCACTCTTCTCTCCAAAGGATACTTAATTCTTTTTGTTCCAATGCTGATCACAATGGGGAAGGGATGTAGACAGGCTCCAACTAGTTCATTTTCTTCATCCTTCCAGCCATTTATTATATTCCTTTTTTATCATTTTCAAGTCAATAGGAGGGATATTGTTTTACCTCGTAAAATACATTCACACTTCATTTTTCAATGGTACTTTATTCTTTTATAACTACTGCTTTGTGTGATACATTTCTCATTTGGAGGAGGGTGATGTTTCTCTTTAAAATGTGCTTGCCATAGCACACCTGCATCTCTCCTGCCTATGGAAGGACATAATTGAAGGAATAATGGTTATTAAAATGCTGCTTCATCTCATTTCTTTTACACCGCCTCTGTGGTTTCTGTGCCATTCCCTCTAATCCAAAACAATCCATGTGCTATTGAGTACCTTTTGGATTGTGAACTTTTTAATGAGAAAGCCAATGTAAGCTGATTACTGCACAGTGGATAACTTCAAAGCCTCAGTGTGTTGTTGCTGGGATAATGAGAGTGAAGAGATGCTTCTTATCTGATGGCTCCCTTCCTGGTCATGTTTCATGTTTTACAATGTCTGAGATAGACTCCACTGAAGGGCAGATGCACATCTTCCTGCTAGGTTCCAGGAATATTGAATAGAACTGGAATTGGTACTCCGTTTTCTCAACCTGCTGGCCTCTAGATGTTTGGATTTATAATTACCATTGTCCAGGGGTGGGTTCCTGCCAGTTCTAACCTCTTCTATAGAAGAAGTTCCACAAATCCACCATGCCGCTTAGAACTGGTTCCAGCTCCCTCCCCCTGCCCATCCGTACCACGCTTGCCCCGCCNATATAAGTGATTGTATAAAATGAAAATGAAAATGAAATAAAACAGTTTAAAACTAAGCTTTATCACTAGGCTACGCAGAAACAAAATTATTACATGGATTTTAAAAAGTTCATGAGAAAAAGACTGTTTATTTAATAGACAATGGACATAGAAATAAAAAAATTGAATCTCACTTGCACTTGTTGAAAGCCTCCATTGCTGCCTTCCATTCCTGATGCTCAAATCGAAGCATACCTGTGAGGTAAGCTGTGTATGCCTATAAGAAAAATGAAGATGGATGATAAGTAGTACAACTATGGTAGCCCACTGAATTTGAATTTTTCCATAGCTATCAGTAAATACCAGGAAATATACCAATATCAAGTATATTGGTATACTTGAAAACTCAAATAACTATGCAGATGTGCTATGGAATCCAGATTGTTATTACTACCTGGACAATATTTTTTTCGGACACCTGTCTAAAATGAAAATGTATGCAGATTACATGAATTGTTTTTCCACAGGAAATAGTAGTGGTGGAATATATTATTTAATATACATATTACTTCATATTAGATTAATAAGACATGCAAAGGTTCCATCAAAATATTCTGACCCTGAAACTGATTATTCTGAATGCAGAATAGCCTAATGAGTTTCAGGGACAGAGTCCCGTACAACCCAAATGGTCAGCATTTGAACCATAAGTTTTCATAAGGTTGGGTTTTTTCTTTCTCTTTTTTTTGCATATCAAGTAACACAGCAGAAGGTTGGCCCTTCTGAAAATAGTGTATGAGTTGTGTCCAAACATACTGTCTTTTTTCTTTTCGTTTTTCTGTATTCTTCACTGGAACTTTTATTATCTACACTTTAGATCCAATTGTTCACTAAGAAATTAACTCTAGTACATTTTCTCTGCCTTCCTAGTTTTAAAAGCTAGTCCTAACCTGAGCTTCCAGCTTTGTCTTGGCATCCACACGGCTACTTTCACAGAGATGTTCCAGTTCCTCAGCATGTTTTACTGCTTTGCGTAGGCGAGATAACAAATGAAAACGTTTGCGTGGTTCTGTGTTGGCTTCTTGCTTGAGCTGCATTGCATAACTCCAGGCTCTTTCAGCATCCATAAGAATGAGGAGTAAATATCTATGGCATAAGAGCAATTAAAAATTATTCAAAGCACTTATAATTTCCCTTGAGAATTTCAACAGAAATACAAAATAAATGCATCTGTTCCTATACTTCTGCCCCAATCAGGCATCTTGTCTAAAGTCAATTTCAAAGTCCCTTTCTACCAAGTGATTGATTATATTTACATAACATCCTCTCTTCAGAATTCCTGGTGAAGGACATTTCTACAAACCTTCTATCCTTACAATCCTGGGAATATCAAATTTGCCTTTCCTCATTTATTATCTTGATAGATTTTGAGAGTACATTTATATATACCTCAATAACATTCTAGAAGTACAGTATTTCTGATACTGTATCCAGAGGACATGCAGTTTGGACAACAGTGTAGCACTAAGTGCAAAGGAAAAATTTACCAGTCTCAATACTTCATTCTAGCACACTAGCAAAGACTGGAATGCTTATTATATGGAATCGAAACAACTTCAAACTAACTAAAATGTTTTAAAATACCTCCAGCATTTCTAAGTTTGCTTCCCGAACACAAAAGTAGTTTTCTTTGTAAAATAGCTGAATTTTTCTGAATTTAAAAGCGTTTAAAGGTACTAGGCAATTTATTTTATCAATGTTTCATATTTTAATACAATTTTAGAATTTGCTTAACCTCTCCTTTGTTCAGGATGCTGTTGCCATCTTTTTCTATAAGGACAGAAAAAAGCTAAAGAGACACAATTCCCATCTCCAACTCAAAAATGGAAGGCAGAAATAGCTTCCAGTACCTGTTGTCAGATAATAGCTCTTCTGTAATTTTTTTCCCTGTGAACTTGTGCCTATTTCCCATCTTGAAGTTAAGAGTTTTTCTGAGCCTCCTTAGTCGACGGGAGCAATAACCTCTTCAAGGGGTGAAGAGAAAAGAAATGATTAATTCTTATTCACAGTAATATTTGCTTTCAATCTACTTTCCCTACCCTCCCATAAAAATGTCTCCAGAGAAAACACTGCTGCAAGCTATAAAATATGATAAGACAATGTAAATAATAACAGAAGACTCAAAGGAAGTCATTCAGAAAAGATACGATCATAGAAGACAGGCACCAAAGCAAAATAAGTCAATTTATGTATCAATTCTTAAAGTAAAATATGTAGCCATAGAAAAAATTGAGAAATTGGAAATTTCAACAATTTTTAAGCTAGGATTCTATTCATAAATGGATTGATAGCTGAACATCAGTGAAGTGGTATCTACATAAAATGTATCTTCAAAGTTATATGGATTGATGAGCATTAAGTTTCACTAGTGCACGTGTGCCAAAGGCGCAACTTACATGCCTAATGAGGTTTTTCAGGGAAGTGGTTTATGAGTAAAACCTGAATTACAAAAACTTTCTTAGCCTATTTGGATACAGTGTTCCAAGTTGTATGCTTTTATCCAATTATTGTGTACCAGGGAATATGTAGTGCATATGTAGTGTATGTGTGACTCATGCTGGTATATGCACTATGCAAGGATGAGTCATACATACATACATACACACACACACACACACACAATTGGTTGATAGTGAGATGGGTTGCACAGAAATTTAAAAATAAAATAAACCAAAACAAAATATATGGTCAGAACTTTCCTAAAACTGAACAACAAAACCATGCTTAATTTTAAAATATACCACATTAAGTTATTAAATTCATGTGTGCCTGATTCCTAGTGATATTAAAGATAAAACAATTAGGATTGGTACCTAACTCATCATTCTACTTTTAATTCTAACCCATTCTACTTTTAATTTCTTCTCTAAAATCAGCTGCATCATTTGTAACTATTGAAATAAGCATTTTATTAATAAAAACAAAGGCATTTCTTGCTCCACTGTTAACTTCCATGACAATTCCTTGCATACCTGTATCTTTGAAAATCACCATGACGTAAGCCATGTTGCTGCTGTGATTCTTTGATAATCTGAAGAACTAAAAGACTTGTTAAGGAAACTTCCAACAATAAAACCTATAGAGTTAAATCACATAAAATATATTGTACATTTTATTATTTTACTATTTTTTTCAAGTTCATATATAACAAGTTAGTGAGTTTCTGAGCATGATTATAATGGAATACCAGCTAGATGACAAAGGTTTTCCTGCATTCATATTCTAAGCCTAAACCTTTCTATTGCCTGTTTGACTTTGGAATTAAACAGGTACAATTTTACTAACCCTGAAATATGTTATTTAAAACCTGATGGAATTTTAAAATAATGATTTACTACTGAACTCGGAAATTAATAGAAGTACTGCATACTGTATTTGCTATTAACTAGATTCAGTGGTAAGCTAATATAAATGTATTCCTAAATTTGGCTTCAAAATCACTACCTGAAGATAAGATATACAATCTGAGGAAGTCTAAAATTTCTAGAATTACAGATTAACATTGTATATCACTGTTGTGTCCACTAATTAAAGATGTACAGTAATTATCATTAGAATATTAACAAAATTTACAAAATTAACATTTCAGGTTCACATTATTTCTGTGTGGCATTTTATTTTACAATTGGACAGCATAACTTAACTGTACCACTCTCTAAAATGTGAATACGTTTTTGAAACTTGTTATCTGTTATATAAATTTCACATTATTATGAAAGATCTATAAACAGAAATATGGCTGCTTACTCAACAGGTTTCTGACATGGGACATGCAAAGACCTGATATTTTGCCTTCTCCACAAACATGCCTATATCTCCCTTAGGTTAATTCCACAAAAAGAAAGAAACAAGCGTAACTTTTCAGTTATGAGTTTAGTTTAAAAATCCTTTGTTTTACAAACCCGAGACAACCTGCGTACCTATTACCTATAAGATCCCAAACTTGGCTAATGAGTTAATTCCATGTAATGTTTTGCAAAAGAAAAAGAAAAAAAGAAATGCAGTTTCACATTGCAACTTAATTAATTGTAACACATCTCAGTGCTAAGGGAAGTCTGTAACCTCTAATATGCCTTGGACTATATATTTTTCCTCAATGTTAATTTCAGGGGAGGTCTCCACATCGATCGTCACTACCCGAAATTTGGGAAGACAAACCAGTTAGAAATTATACGTGAAGTTCGGACATTTCTCAGTGCAGAAGCCGAAGCCTGAGAAGGGCTCGCCCTTTGCCTTAAGTGACACGTCCCCATTAACGCTCTCCCCTAAAATGCGCCGGTAGGATACTCTCCAGGCCCAGGCTATCTCCGAGGCTGCCGGACTTGGGTTTTTCATTCTCCTTGTTATCCTCTAGGGCAGCCATGGAACTAGCGCCACCACTACCACTGGTACCACGGCCACCGGCACCGCCGCCGCTCCCGGCCACCTGCCGCTCGGCTGCCATCTTGAGCCTGTTCCGCTTGGGACGAGAAGCATCACGGGACAGGAAGTGTTGAAAGCGCCACGCTCACGAGTCGCCATCACTGAGGCTGACGGGACGGTGGAGGATCCGCGCATGCGTGTCTGGAATAGACGCCATAATCTGCCTTTGCGGGCTTAAATGGGAATACAAGTCGGAAATTTTAAAGGCAACGCACCAAATGTGCTTGCTAGGGCGCGCCGCAGGCTGGATCTGCTCTGTGGAGGCCACCTAAGATGAAGATATAAGAGGTGTCTGTAAAAGTCCGGGCACTGAAAGGAGCGCTTTTCAATTATATTATAAATAAGGTGACCAGATTTTCAGATTGGTAAAGAGGGACACCTTTGACCGGGGGTGGGGGGTGGGGGGGCTTGATTAAAAATTTTATACGGAGCAACAAAAATTTTCATACAATGCAAAAATAGTATTGTAATTTTGATCACGTGACCATGAGGATGCTGCAACGGTCGCTAAGTGTGAAAATGGTCGCTAAGTGTGAAAAATGTTAGGTGAGGCTACTTTCTGCTAGCTTTCCACAATGAAACCCATTGGGGAATCCAGAAGGAAGTTGCAAGTTCCAGGCTGGCAGGCAGATAAGTGGCTGCTGCCAGATGAGAGAGAGAACACGGGGATACATACGCAAGGGTGTGAGAGAGGGTCTTCACGGGTGCATGAAGTGTAGGTCGGGGTGTGTGCAAAGTGTTCATGAGTGATGTGGATCAGAGGGTGCAAGGAGGTGTGCAAGAAGTGCAGGTTGGAGAAAATGCATGAGGGTGTGAGGGAGGTGTGAAGAGTTGAGGGAGCATGAGTGGCCAGTGCAGAGGGGCTCAGAGCGGCTGAGGGAAGATGTGCATGGATGGGGGACTTCTGACTTGTGACCTTCCCTGCTCGCTTCCCCACTATCTTTCTATGGAAGCTGACAGAGAACGTTGAAAATGATAAACACACAGATGCAGGATGGTGCAGCTGGTTGTAAGAGACAACAGGTTGTCGCAATCACAAGGTCATGTAAGTGCTGGTATGACTGGAACGCCAAAGATTGGTTACAGATATCACTTGTTCAGTGCTGCCATAACAGCCCCTGAATAAATAGTCATAAATCAAGGACTATCTGTACATGTTCACTTCATTCCCAAGGGCATAACTGCATTTACCTTCAGGTCAGCATCAACCAATGCTTTCTAACTTAAAGTGAGCATAGTTACATTCTTTTGAGTACCTGAAAATATATCATAGAAGAAAATTGACAAACACATATTACTTTATGGAGTAATAAAGTTATTGGAGGACAGATTCTGGGTAAAGATTTTAAAAAATCTGACTGTTAACATTCTATATGTTGGGGTGATAATGGGCTCTACTAAATGTGTTAGGGAGGAGCATCTAGACAAAGTTGATTGAATTCCATAGCCTGAAGAAACCCTTTCATTTCTTGGATGAAGAGGGAATGGGGACTTGATTTGTTCAGCTCTTTTTTCAAATTATATTTTAATTACATTATGAAATATGAATGGGCTTAAGGAGAAAACCAACCTAGAATGAAGGAGAAAGTTCTTGAAAGTTGGAACAATTAATCAGTGGAACGACTTGCCTCCAGAAATTGTGGGTGCTCCAACACTGGAGGTTTTTAAGAAGAGACTGGACAACTATTTGAAATATTACTCCTTCAGCAGGGGGTTGAATTAGAAGACCTCCAAGGTCCTTTCCAACTCTGTAATTTTGTTATTTTGGATCACACATTACTGTAAACACTTGATTTGTTACATTTTGGTTTGGTGTGATGTGATTGCAAAATTAAATCAATCTTGTCCATTTACAAATCATTATTTATGGCTGCAGTATGTGAGTCAAACATAGTATGTTTAAGGAATACTTCTATAAGCCTCAGGAATAGGAACTAAAACAATACTAGCCTTTATTATAATTCCACTAAGGATATAAAATGGTGAAACCTATGGACCATATATGTATTGCTCATTTTTTATTTCTTACTATTATTATTTTTCTGCTTTAAATACTTTATTTTATTGCGCTGTATTTATTTTGGGCAGAGCTTGTAAGGTTTTTGTGTGTTTTTGTGTCTGTATTGACTCCTGGAAACTGCCTAGACAAGTCCCTTTGCTAGGCAAAACATTTTTGGAAGTAGTTTGCCATTGCTCCTTCCTAGGGTTGAGAGAGAATGACTGGCTTAAAGTCATCCAGCGGGCTTTCTGTCTAAGAGGGAAGTGCAACTCACAGTCTCCCAGTTTATAACCTCATAGGCTCAGCAGAAAAGGGCAAGCATGTAGAACTGTAGGACATCCTTACCAACTGAAGGTATTTTCTTCTATTTGATCAAAGGATCTATGAGATGATTTTTCAGACTTTCTCCAGTTGGTTTTTGTATTGGTCTTCCTGGGATCTTCCCAGTGGGCCTTCCTCTTCCATAATATTCTTTTGCAGATGNTTTCTGACAGTGAGAACAATCAACCAATGGAACAGAAGTTGCCTTCAGAAGTTGTAGGGGCTTTCAAGAAGAGATTGGACTGCCATTTGTCAGAAATTGTGTAGGGTCTCTTGCTTGAGTGGGGGGTTGGACTAGATGACCTATATGGTTGCTTCTAATTTTGTTAATCTGTTTAAAAAATGGTTTGGACAAAAACTTGCTCACAAAAGGTTCTTTTTCTGACCTACCTGTTTGTGTGGCTCATTCAACTGCATTTTAAGTTCTCATTGGAAACTTCCTGAAATCTTCCAACTAAAGCACATGGGGAACTACCATCAGAGATCAGAGAAGAATGTGTGTATGTGTATATGAGGAGGGGGACTGTATTTCCATAGACACCATTACTTTTATTTTGGCTGTTTGTTTCCCTGGAAACAAGAGGATGTCTTGAATATATTAGTTGTCCCCATGAATATGATGAAGGAGGATTCAGCACACGCTGAATATAACAGGCTCGGCGGGGGAATATAAAACGGGAAGTGAGCACGACTGGCATGAAGTTTAGCCTCAGCCTGCACACCTACAAGAGTGGCTGCCAGTGAAGGGTTTTCCTGCAAGAGACACGGCAGAAAACTAAAAAGCGTTTCAGCATTGCACAAAGTGGAAATCCTCTGGCAAGAAAAAGTAGAGCTTTAACAGTATGTGATGGCAGACAGAGGTCTGGCATCAGTGAATGGAAGTTCCTCTGATCTGCAGGATTATAAATGGAGAAGTAGATGCAGAAAAGATCAGCTTAGAAGAAAATTGTAATTATTTTTTTCCAAGAAGTTTTGACTGAAAGCAATCTGCAGCTGTAACTGATTTGGGCATTTCTGGCAAATCCAGAGAGGGAAAGCATCTTGACTAGAGATTTCTTCTCTACCAGAGGACACTTTGCTTCCAAGATGAACCGATCACTGACCCTGCTAAACTCTTCGGGGGTTAGTGAGAGCAGCTCACTGATCTCTGTAATCATTCCCTTGGTGTACTCTTTGATTTTCCTGATAGGCACCGTGGGCAACTCTCTGGTCCTTGCAGTGCTGCTGAGGAACGGGCAAGTGAACAATACCACCAACCTCTTCATCCTCAATCTAGGTGTGGCTGACCTCTGCTTCATTGTCTTCTGTGTGCCCTTCCAGGCCACCATCTATAGCCTGGACGATTGGATCTTTGGCCCCTTCATGTGCAAAGCAGTGCATTTCTTCATCTATCTGACCATGTACGCCAGCAGTTTCACTCTCACAACTGTATCCTTAGATAGGTGAGTAAGCTGGAGGGCTGGGGAGAAGTTCTGGATTTGGAAAGTCATTGTGAAGCTTTGGAAAATATCTGATTTTAACTTTCAAACAATTATAACTTTCCAGTCTCCCTGAACACCTCTACCACTTTGTCTCATAACCTGCAGGGAGAACATGCATCCCTTCAATGAGTTTAAATTTAATTGAGTTTAAATGGACAGCCAATCTCAGTGTACATATATTGNTTTTTTTTCTAAAGGGTTAGGGGTGCAAGGGTCTTGTAACTTGACAGCTTTAAGACTTGCGTGCTTCAAATACCAGAGTTTCTCAGCCAATGTTTTGATTGCTAAGCAAGAGCGTTGTTAAATGAGTTACACGCCCACCCAGTCACATGATTGCCAAGCCACTCCCACCCATCATATGGCCAGCAAGCCACTCCCACAAAGCAGGCCACACCTACAGAAGAGGTTCTAAAAAAATTTGAAACCCACCACTGCCATTGTCCCTAGCCAACAGAGAGATTGAGAACCACTGAGAACTACTGTGTGCCAATGCACCTGAAGGACATCAGATTGGGAAAGACTTCACTAAACTTTTAGTAAAAATGTATTTCTTTAAAGAGAAATAAGAGGTAGTAATGTACATCTGTATCATGGCCAAAGCAGATATCTGAACCAGATGAGACATTGCATAGTCAGTCTTATTCCTCAGGCTTGGTGATTTATAGCAAGGATTTATATTACCTGAGAACTGGCCACTTCTTTCTCTTCCCAGGATGGAACCATTTGCTGATCAAGCTGTTTGATAAATCAGGCACATATAATTACTGGAAACATTCCCATTGCTGTCAGAAACAGTGAAAGACATCTGTCAATCAAAACAATTTTAACTCAAAACTGTTTTGACTGACAGAAGTTCTGAGCCATTTCTGGGAACAAAGTTTCAAGCTATCTTTTAGATTATCTGAATATCTCTGCATGTCTTTTGGGCCAGAGAGGAGATGCAGTCTCTTGCGGTAATGGTGATTCCTCTTGTTAATTCTTCCTAGATAGGAATAAGAGGCTGAACACCAGATGGGCTGCAGCTGCTTGGTCTGCCTATTGTCCCAGGCTCATCTGGGACTGCCAGAAGAGTATCAGGGTGGATGTGTACTCTAAAAGAAGTCAATTAAGGAAGAAGCATGAATTGTTTCCTTTAGGAAGAAGCATGAGTTGAGGTACAGGAAGTAAGAGCGGTCCAACTAGATATTCTTCCCCATACTGCATCTTTTGTAGTTCTATGATCTACAATTAATCTGTTGTTGATGTGACTTGCAGCAACCAACTGGCAGCAATTTGTACCATTATCCCCATCTTATCTAGTGCAATAATGCAAACAAGCAGCTTTTTGAATTATTATGAGTTATAAATTAACCTCAGTGAATGTACTATCCCTTTCCCATTAGTTCTTTGACAGTTTTGGTCACCACACTATAAAAGAGATGTTGAGACTCTAGACAAAGTGCAGAGGAGAGCAACCAGGATGATTAGGGGAGTGGAGACTAAAACATGAAGAACGGTTACAGGAACTGGGCATGGCTAGTCTAGTGAAGAGAAGGACCAGGGGAGACATGGTAGCAGTGTTC